GCGAGAATCCTGTATAGGGTCACTATGAGTCGGAACTGACTCAACAACACTTAACAATAACATATATATGTGGAACTCTGGTAGCGTAGTGGGTTATGAGTTGGGCTGGCTGCTTAATGGCAAGGTCATCAGTTTGAAACTACTAGCTGCTCTTCAGGAGAAAAATGTGGCTTTCTGCTCATCAGGCAGTGTTTCGTTCTGTTATGCATAGGGTCGCATTGAGTCAGTACCGACTCGATGGCACCTAACAACAACACTAACATCAAGATTAGTAGTTCAAACCCACCAGCTGCTCCTCAGAAGCCCTATACAGTGTTTGTTGTGACTCAGCGGTACTTAACAACAACAGCAACAACACAATGGTAAAACCAAGAAACTAACTTAGTACCATTGTATGTTCTTTTTTTTATCACACTCTCTACTTGAACTTTGTTGATGGGCATGGGTGGTACTGCAGTTTTTTCAGTGGTGTTTGGCTAAAGGAGAGAAGTTATTGTGTGAAAGTTTTCTCTATTGATAAGCTATCTCTCTCCTGTTGTTTTGGCCTGAGAGAGCAGGTTTTTCTCAGGGTATTTATTGTCTGTGGCCATTGATGTTTTCAGGTTGCCAACTTCTTTAGCATCTAGTCAAGAATATGCAAGGCAAAAAGCAAGCCCAGGAAACTTACTGCTGCGTTGTTCCTCCAGCTCCTGGATCTTAGCCTAACTTCCTTCTTCTTTCCACCTTTCAGAATCTTCTTATGTTTGTTTTGTATAAAAGGTCCCAGTTTAGTAGCTGCCCTTAGTGGGAGGAATAGAGATAAGTGTGTCGCTTGTATTTGTTCCAGAACCGGAAAGAGTCATGAATTTTTTATTTGTTGAGATTCTAATATGCAGATGGGATCTTCGGAGACATTTTCTTTTTTTTAATTGTGGTTTGGGTGAAAGTTGACAGAGCAAATTAGTTTTCAATTCAACAATTTATACACACTGATGTCTAAATTGCTTCATAACATTAGTTACAATGTCTTCATCAGAACCACACTTTCCCACTTCCTCCTGGGTTCCCCATTTCTATTCATCCTTCTTTCCTTTCTCATTTTGGTTTCTGAGTTTTATTTTATAAGGAAACATTTTCTGTAGATGAAAAACAAACTTTTCATTTTGCTCTCTTCCATTCTACCTGGTTTTCCAAAGTCATTTTTATATATCAGTCCACATGTCAGCCTCAGCACTTGTCTGCAAGAGCTTTGCTTGAGAACCTAGCAAACAGCCCAAAGGGCCAGGACACACACAATTTGTGAAATGGACCCAATACTAAACTAAGAACTTTTAACTTTGTTTTTGGAGAACAATTGCCAGTGTTTAACCTACAATGATGCAAATTAATTGTTCAAAACATATAGGAATTGTGAGGTGTGGAGGCAAAGGATTGAATGCAAGCTGGGTGCTGGTAGAGCCCAAGGGACAGAGTTGTGTAGGATGTGAGCAGAGGACAGATGTCTGTGAAGCAAGACCATCTCCCGAGGCTTACCTCCAGGGCCTGCCTCCTGCTCACCTTTACTTCTTCCCAGGCACGGGAGTGGAGGGGAAGGGGAACAGAAACAATCAGGGAAGACTTGCTCCCAGGTTGTTGGATATTGCACACTTAGGAGTCCTGGTGTGGCACTGTAGGGTAATGCACTGGACTGCAAGGTCAGTGTTTCAAACCCACCATCAGCTCCTTGGAAACCTTTATACAGGGTTGCTATGAGTCCAAATCGACTCCACGACAGTACTTAACAACAAGAGTATTTTCAAGACCCCGTAGAATTAAAAGAAAAGATATCTAAGCCACAGTTCCTACTCTCACAAGGCATATCTTCAGTACAGAAACTTTCAACCTTGTAGATTCCTTTTTCATTCAGTTGGTATTGGGTTACTAACCACAATGTAGATGGTTCAAACCCACCAGCCACTCCTCAGGAGAAAGATGAGACTGTTGGCCCCCATAAAGATTTACAGTCTTAGAAACCCTAAGGAGCAGTTCTACTCTGTCTTATAGGGTTGCATGAGTTAGAACCAACTTCATGGCAGTGGATTTAGTTTGGTTTGGGATACTCACACAACCAGATCTCATCTGTTTTGCTGAAGAGACAAAAAACCTAAAAAAACAAAAACAGAACAGAGAGAGAAAGTCTCTTAGTCAGGCAGCCTCAGCTATCTCTAGGAGGAGCATTCTCCTGATTTCTGAGACAGCTCAAGGTGTGCCCAGGTGACCTACTTATTACTGGGTGGCTGCCATGGCACACTGCACACACCTGATGCTGCTCAGGGAGAAGCTCGCAGCTTGTGACAGACGGCTTTCCAAGACGTAGAACATCTGGCTCAGCAGGCAGGCTGTCATCTGTGCAGCTGACCGAAGACAAAACTCACCAGATTCTGAGTTCCAGCCTGCCTGGGCAGTGACACACTCAGCCTTGCAGGAACCTGAGAGTATCAGGCAGAAGATGATTCTTGGGAGAAATTTGCCCAAAGTCCTCTGCATTGGGCTGATTCTAATCACTGCTGTCAATATCCTTCTGGTATTTTACACCAAGGGAACCATACAGACCTTGATTCTGGGTGCGCTCCACAAAGACCTTCCTTTGCATTTGGCTGAGTGGGATGGGACAGTGATAAAGAGACTCTCTCACTTGGAGGTGGATTTTCAGCATCTGAGTAAGTTGATAATACCAATGTGAAGGGGAAGGATATGTGTGTATGTGTGTGTGTGTGTGGACATATAAGAAGTAGAAACAGAGCCCTAGAAGGAAAAAAAGTGAGTGAGGGGCTATATATTCTCATATCTCAATGTGAGCATCTGGCATGGAATTCTGTGTTCCCAAATGGGAAGGTAAGTATGGAGATTTTTTTTTTTTTTTTAAATGAAAAAACAAAACAAAATTCAAACCCACTGCTGTATAGTCAATTTTGACTTGTAGCAAGTCTATAGGACATAGTAGAACTGTCCCCATAGGGTTTCCAAGGCTATAAATCTTTATGGAGTCAGACTAACAGCTTTTTCCCTTGGAGTGACTGGTCCACTTGAACCACTGACTTTTTGGTTAGCATACCAACCAAGCACAACCAGGGCTCTGTATGGAGAGAGAGGAGTAGAAAGAGCAGTTTGGGGTTGAAGAGCAGAGTGTGCCTATGGGAGTAGTGTATGAGCATGTATAGGTTCTCATATGTGATCACATCCACATATATGTAGGCAGAGAAAGTGAGACTCAATTTAAGAATCCCTGAGAGGTGCATAAATATAGACAGAGCCCAGTCCTTAGGATCTGTGAGGCAGGCAATAGAGCTGGGCAATCTTGGGCAGTAAAGCTGGGCAAAATCGTGAATGAATGAGAGGACCTAAAATTAAATTGTGATGCAGCCGTTAATGTTGTAGACTTTGAGCAACTACTTCTCTCTCTCTGCCTCAGGTTTCTAATCTGCAAGTTGAGTTGATGATGATATGATAATGATGGCAATAATTAGGTAACTTCACAGGGCCATGATAACACAGTGCATAATGAACATATGCAGAAAGAGATCCATAAACTGATAGCTGCCATATCTAACCTCCTCATTTAAAACTCTGGGTAAGAGTCAGTGAAGGTTGGCTCACCATGAAACTCAGACTCTCTTGAGTTGTACGTGCATCTGACTTACATGAGAGGAAGTGGCAATATTCTCCTGCCCCTCAGGTGACAAGCACTTCTAGAGTGAAGTGTGACTGTGTGAGCCTGGGTGTGACTGTATGTGTATGTGTGCATGCACACACATGTGGGCTAGAGCTGGGAACGTAGCATTCCCTATCAGGTTTCAGGCTGAGGCAGAGGGATGAATGGCAGGAAAGACAGAAAGGAAAAGGGAGGAAGAGAGGAAATGAGAGAAAAGAGAGGAAGAAGACAAAAGAGGTAGAAAGAGACAGAGACAGAAAAGAAGGAGCAAAGCAGCGTGAGTCCAGGGAGAGGACATGGAAGACTTGATATGAGTGTAATGACACAAGTGTGCAATTTCTTAAATGTGGAACTAAGGAGCTGTTCTGTAAGCCTTCACTTAATTCACAATTAAAAGCTAAAAAATAAATAAAAGAGTTTCTCTGAGGATATGAAGAGCAAGAAGGAGGCATAGAGCACCTTAATACCTGTATCAGTCAGGGTCCCACCAGAGAAAAAGAACCAGTAAAATACACACCTAGACCCATTGCAGAGATGTCGATTCATAACCACTACGCTTCCAGAGCTCCTTTATATATATGTACATATAAAAGCTATATATATAT